TCTCATGGAATTCAAAGAAGCAAGAAGTGGTAGCTCAATCTTCTGCAGAAGCAGAATACATCGCAGCTGCTGGTGCAACTAATCAGGCTCTATGGTTAAGAAAGATTCTACGTGATCTGGAGCAAAATGACATTGAAGCTACTGTCATTAAGGTTGACAACAAGTCAGCAATATCTATGGCCAAAAATCCAGTGCAACATGGTCGTAGCAAGCATATAAATGTGAAGTTTCACGCTATCAGACAAGCAGAGAAGGATGGCGAAATTCAACTTGTTCATTGCAGCTCAGATCAGCAGATTGCAGACAGCATGACCAAGGCTCTTCCTAAGGGGAAATTTGAAGTTCTAAGGGCCAAGTTGGGAGTATCCAAGAAAAATCTCAAGGAGGAGTGTTAGAAAATGAGATATTTCTAGATGTCTTTTGTTTAATTGTTATTTTCTTAAATATTATGTTAAGTATGTAAAGGAAAGGTAGTCCTTGTTTTATGGAATATGTTTTGTAAGAAAGTCAATAGTGGGTGGATATGTATGGTCCTCTACTAACTTTTGAAAAGCTTATGTAGATATATGTGTGTATGCTTTTAAAAAGCTAAATATATGAATGAATTTCTGCTGCTGAACATTATCTGTTTCTCTCTAAAAGTTTCAAATCCTAACAAGTATCACCTGTTACTGATCCCTCACAAACTTCAGTAGTTTCTAGTATTGTCACTCTCTCACCTCTAATAAGAAGATCTACTAGAAGTTCAAGACCTTCAATCTGGCACAAGGATTATCATATAAAGACCGGAAAAATAACTGTCTTTATTCTATAGCTTCAGTCCTAGATTACACTAGCTTGTCATCAAAATATCAAGGCTTTGTTTCTAGATGCTCAGTAGACACAGAACATGCTATCTACACTGAGGCTGGTAAAGATGCTAGATGTATAGAAGCAATGTAGAGTGAAATAAAGGCCCTAGAGGACAACAAGACTTGGGAGCTGGTAGACTTGCCCAAGAATAAAAAGGCTATAGGCTGCAGATGGGTTTTCAAAATTAAGTACAATGCAGACGATGGTGTAGAGAGGTTCAATGCTAGGTTGGTAGCCAAGGGGTACAATCAGAAGGATGGTTTTGATTATTAAGAAACCTTCTCTCTAGTGGTAAAAATGGCCACAGAAAGTCTGTTATTTTCATTGCAGCTGCTAGTCATTGGAACATTCACCAGATGGATGTTTATAATGCTTTCTTACAAGGAGATCTCTATGAGGAAGTGTCTATGACATTGTCTGAAGGTTTCAATGGGGTAACTGGAAACAATCCAGCATATAGATTGGTGAAATTTTTTTATGGATTGAAACAAGCTTCAAGGCAGTGGAATATTAAACTTACTAGTACCATAATTGTATCAGAATTCCACAAACCACCAAATATTACTCCTTGTTTACCAAAAAGGAACATGGCAAGCTAATGATAATACTCATATATGTGGATGATTTATTATTAATAGGAAATAATTCTGCTATGATCCAGGAGACTAAGGAAGTTTTGAAAAATCTTTTCAAAATCAAAGATCTAGGAGAACTCAAGTATTTGTTGAATTGGAGTTTGCTGGAAGTGAAGCTAGAATTCTCATACATCAGAGGAAGTATGCCTTAGAGCTCATAGCAGATATGGATTTGGCAGGTGCTAAACCAGTCTTAAGTCCAATGGAGCTGAACCAGAAGCTTACTTCAGTGGAATTTGATGACACCCTACACCCTACACATGCTGATACATTGTTGAAAGATCCTGCTAGCTACCAAAGATTAATTGGGAGGTTGTTGTATTTGACTACTACTAGATCAAATATATCTTTTATTGTGCAATGCTTAAGTCAATTTAAGCACTCTCCAAAGACATCACACATGAATGTTGCACTCAGATTGGTGAGATACATGAAGTCAGCACCAGTCTTAAGAATTCTAATGTCATTAACAGGGGGAAATGATCTGAAGGTGTTTTATGATGCAGACTGTGGTGCATGCATTAATAGTAAAAGGTCTATTACTGGATATTTAGTTCAGTATGAAGGCTCCCCTATCTCTTGGAAATCTAAAAAGCAATTGACAATATCTAGAAGTTCAGCAAAGGTTGAATATAGAGCAATGACCTCCACAGTTGCAGGAGTGGTTTGGATTGTTGGCTTGCTTCAGAAACTTGGTGTCAATATCTCCCTTCTTGTGCCACTATACGCAGACAGCACCTCAGCCTTACATTGACATTGATTGCCATTTTATAAAGGAAAAGATTCAAGATGGATTGATTGTCACAACCTACTTGGCCTCGTCTGATCAACCTGCTAATGTTTTTAGTAAGGCTCTTGGAAGAGGTCTTCATGCACATCTTATGTCCAAGCTAAGAATGAAAAACATTTTCATATCTCTTAGCTTGAAGGAGGGTGTAAAAGTATTAAGTAAATGTATAAGTGTGCCCTGAAGATGTTGGTCACATTATAGATTATGGTGTGCATCACACACTTGATAGTTGATTGTGTAATTAGCCAAGTTGGTTAAATAGTTTGTTATGATTAGTTAGAAACAATTAGTGAGTTGAGACAACTAGATTGGATCATAGCATGATAGTTGTGTGGTATAAAATGTACATTGTAGATTGAACATAATCAATAAAGTTAGTTTTTTTCTGATCACACTCAATATGTTTCTCTCTGTTCTTAGATAGTGTTGCTTCATCAAGTTTTACTCTAGAATTCATAAGCTCGACAGTTTTTGCTCCAACTTTAATTCATTTGTTTTTATCTTGTTGTTTGCTTATGATAGTGAAGAGGAGAGGTTTAACACGAGCCTGTTTTGATTCATGTGGAATGCAAACTTAAAAAATTGAGATTCATTTAATTTTGTTTTTAAAAATAACTACAACCTACAAATTTGCTTAAAATAAGATGAAGGTATTTTTTTTTTAAATAAACAACTTATTCATAGGAAGTATGCAATGCTTATTAGTTTTAATACAACAAACAAATCAATCAATAAAAAACAATCTCAAGATAACTAATCTCATCATAACTTATTTTCAAATCAAACAACTCCTAAGGTTCTTTCATAAAAAACAATTATTTAATGGTTGCAAACATTAAGAACTCACTCGTATTCTGTCTTTCTTTACCAAAAAAATTGAAACTAGAAAAAATGATCACTGACAGGAATTTATCGCTACCAACCTCCATCTAGTAGCTTGAGCTTGAGAGAGGATGGCTAACCTGAGGCTTTTGATGAATGAACAAATTAATTTGACATCCAAATGCAGACAAGGACTTAGAGTGATATTCTCTTAATTGGGCCGAGAGACTTTAGGGGACTTATATCATCAGTTTGCTCAATGAACATATGCACCTGAATGAGTTGACTGTGAAGTACTTGTTTGAGTTTCTATATCTAAGAACTGTAATCCTAGTTCATCTTTATTATTGATTAACATTCAAGTAGATAAAGTAGTTAATAATTTTCCATAAAAAACCTTAATTCTTCAATTGTAGTTACTAATTAGAATTTCAACATCGAATTATAAAAAATTGTAACAACATTCTTTGTGGAATTCGATCTCAACCTAACTGAATTACTATATTTTGCAATTGACTACTTTAATCTCGTAAAAAAGTATAGTTTGAGAGACACACCGAGTTCCTTCGAGAGAATAACGCTAAAAAATACTAAATTTGATATAGAAATATTTGTAGTAAGAAAGATTCGTGATTTAGTTCAACAAGATTATAGTTGATACATTTAGAGTTTATCTCGACATTTGGTGAAATCATCATCCCAAGCTTTTTACTTGTGAAAGAAAGTCATCAATCTTATTCTTAGAAAGTATGCAATGCTTATTAGTTTTAATACAACAAACAAATCAATTTCAAGATAGCTAATCTCAGGATAACAAATTGTTGGATAACTAATCTCATCATAACTTATTTTCAAATCAAACGACTCCTAAGGTTCTTTCATAAAAAATATTATTTTTTAATAGTTGCAAGCATTAAGAACTCACTTGTAGTCTGACTTTCTTGACCAAAAAAATTAAGACTAGAAAAAATATCATTAACAGGGATTTGTCGCTAGCAACCTCCATCTAGTAACTGCTTGAGTTCGAGAGAGGATAGCTAACCTGATGCTTTTGACGAATGAACAAATTAATTTGACATCCAAGTGCCAATCCGGACTTAGAGTGATATTCTCTTAATTGGGCCCGGAGGCTTTTGAAAACTTATTTCGTTAATTTGCTCAATGAACACATGCACCTGAATGAGTTGATAGTAAAGTATTTGTTTGAGTTCTGATATCTAAGAGTTCTAGTCCTAGTTCATCTTTATTATTGATTAAAATCCAAGTAGATAAAGTAGTTAATAATTTTTCATAAAAAACCCTAATTTTTCAATAGTTGTTACTAATTAGAATTTCGACATCGAATTATAAAGATTGTAACAACATTCTTTGTGAAATTCGACCTCAACTTATTGAATTACTATATTTTGCAATTGACTACTTTAATCTCGTAAACGAGTGTAGTTTAAACGACACACCAGGTTCCTTCGAGATAGTAACACTAAGAAATTACTATATTTGAATATTTGTAGTAAAGAAAAAGTCATAGAGATCAGTTCAACAAGATTATAGTTGATACATTTAGAGTTTGTCTCGACATTTGGTGAAATCATCATCCCAAGCTTTTTACTCGTGAAAAAAAGCCGTCAATCACTTGATTATTTAAATGTTATTTATTTTAGTTAAGTTAATACAAATTCAAATATATTATACCTCAAGAAGTTGATTAAATTGATATTCTTGATGATATGAAAAGTAATTGGAATAGTTCTCTGTGGGATCGATTCCGGTCACAAAGAAAAGCTTAATTATATTTGAAACAACCACTTACCCCATTTGGGACAAGTTTTGGGCATGACATTCATTATAGAAACTATGAGATCAAAGTAGAACAATCCTCCACTGCATACTGCCAGTGCTAATTGAATAGCTTGAAATGAATATCTCATATAAACCACAAAAGAAGTCTATTTCCAGAAATACTTTCAGTGACATAAAAAGTTTTATTCATGTGGAGAGCATTTTACAAATTCAACTTACAAGATTGCAAGTTCAAAGGGAACTAGTAATATATAAGAGCATGAAGAAAACAGTAGGTAGGCACATATGTAGATTAGAAAGATTAACAGGGAAGCCTACTACTGAGATTGTACAAGTCGTGAACTCCTCTTACACTTCAGTCATATAGAAGATCGAGTTGATCTCCGTGGAGTTAAAATGTACATTTCACAGCCATGAGCATTAACCCGGGCACTAAATGAGCCCACCGTGTTCTCCGAGACAACTTCATGCTGCAAAATTTCAACATAGGAAATGCGACCAGGGTAAACTTTTGGAATAATGAAGCTAGTATGCTGAGTCAAAGCAATGATCCTAACTAATTCAGATGTATCAGCAAAAATTTAATTCACAAGAGATCCCGGGGTTACAAGTTGTCAAAAAGAGACGGTAAGCTATATTTTAACGAACAGGAGTTAGCAGTGGTTGATATAAACCTGTCTATACACCGTACCAACTCACCTTCCACAAGTCTCTCATAGAGACGCTAATCGAGGGTTCTAGTCCAATGGCACTCCAATTAGCAGTAATAGTTGCAGCTTTTGAACATCTATTCCAGAGTACCATAGCCAAACGGTTTCGAGACAATGGACCGGCCCAAACCTGAATATAAAATTAAAAACAATAACAATAACAGTTTGGTAGAGCACAGAAAAGTTTAAACCCCTCAAACATATTCTGTCTTCCCCCAAAAGAAAAGGAAAATACATCCAAATGCATCTCAACAATAATAATAACCACAACAACAATTATACATTAACAAGTATGCCTAATCTACATTAGTTGGGGGGCTATCCTAATCCTTTACATCCCCGCCCAACGGTCCAATCCAATGATCGCATCCACTATTATTAAAAATAATAGTAATAATAATGCCGACAACAAAAGGAACTACTTCTGACAGAATTTTTTGGGCAAATCCTACATGACATAACACCATCTTGGCTAATCAGTTCAACATGTGGGTAGTGAAATCTCATAGTGGCTGCGTTGTCACTTGAATAACACAAGGAACTAGTGATGAACTTAGGCAAAACTATGGTTCTCTACACATAGCACGTGATCATCTTTGCGATCGTGTTGCAAATTCATCTACCCAAAAGAATGGAAGTTTTTGTTACATTAAGTAAACCCCACATCAAAACTAAATTCCAATATGCCGAGAAAAAAGAAATGTGGTTTTTAGCAGATAGAATAATGAGTCAAACTCAGGGTTATAAGACGAGGTGATGATAGCATATGGATACATTTCTTGCAGTTAAGTTGCATCTAGGGCTGGGAAAAACTTTAGTAAATCCTACATATAAGAGGGATACTTATCCAGGTAAAATAGCAGTTCAATCTTATGCTCAATGGAAGGGCTGCTTCTATGCCCTTGAGCGGTAGATGCTCCTTTCCTCTATAAGGTAATAATTCATGAAAGGAAGGGAAACACCGTGCCCATATACAACAATTATACCAAAAAGTAGAAAATCTTACAAAAATACATGGTTTTCAACTAAAGACACCTAATCATCTAGACAAATCGAAACCTCATGGGTGCATCAAAAAGAAATAAGGAAAGGCTATACCTTAATTGTAGAAAATCTTTCTCTACATCCTCAAAAGCTCTCCTATTCCTCTCTCCAAACGGTCCACATAAGTGCTAGGGGAGCGACATCCCTATATATTTCTTTATCTCATCCTCTCTGTTTATTTTTTTTTTATAATTGTAATTATTGTCAGCATCTACCTCTCTATATGCATTGGGTATGTTGTTGTTTATCTACCTCTCAATATGATCTTTTATTCTTTAGGAATTAATAGGTGCGAAACTTATCAATCAAATTCTCATTATCCTCTACCTTATTTTTCTCAAGAAAAAACAAGTTTTCAACAGTAACGTTACTTTATTTCGGGAAAGCGTCGAAGTAAGTCTTGTCTTTAAACTACACCCATACAAGGAGCTCTTATGTCAGATACCGAAAGTAACAAAAGGTGCTAACTGTTGATAATGAGAGAGGATAAATGAGAAACAAGGTGCAACTAGACCTGCTGGCAACCATCTGGTCCGGAAGCGTAAACTCTCCTACCCTGAACGCCAAGGGGATCTGTAAAAGTGAAGAAGTTATCTTTTCATAAATTATTTTGTATCAAAAATTCAAAACCATATGCACATCGAAAGTAAAAGAAGAAAATGAGCTGATTCAACCAGATAAGACCCAAAGATATTATGACCTCCTCACTAAAAAAAAAAGGGGTAGGGAATGGGTTATAAGGAATAGAAAGCTCTTTACCTTGGTCAACAGCGATAACCTCTTTATTGGAAAGAATTTTTAAAGTATCAGCAGTGATGTTTCTGACATCACAACCAATTATAAGCGGAGCCTACAAATCGAAGCATAAAGTCAGTTCATGAAGTAAGAGTATTGAAGCACACAAAGGCAATGTTTATTTCCATGAATAGCCAACATAACAGACCACGTTTTTTCTCACATATGTACCAGAACATGATAAATGTTTGAAAAGAAGGGGAGAATGAATAACCTCCTGCAGTTTGATGGACTAGTAATGAAAAATACATATTAAAACTTCCAAACACTATTTTCCCCCTTTTTTTCTGAATAAAATATCTAGTCCCTATTGACCACATTCAATCCCCTATTCTTATCCTTATTTATACAAGGATTTCCAAAACTCACACTCATACACCATTTAAACCAGCAAGCAATTTCACAAAAGAATGGTTGCATCACAAATTTGTTGTCGCTATGGAGAAATTGTTTTGAAAAGGGACTGGATACAAAGTATTCCATCAGAAAATCAAAAAGAAAAACAAGAGAGGAATTTTAAAAAAATGTAATTATGAGTTGCCTTCATCAGAGCCCAGATGCTAAAGTGCCCTTTGTACTCGTGGTAATTCATGCCGCCATTTCCAACTTCTAACATATCAGGATCTGCCAGAAGATATAGAGGGTTAAACTCAGTATCAGCCATGCTTAAAAATCTAGAGAATCAGGATCATCACCTACCATTCCATCCACCGGGTCCAGCATAGGAAGCCCATTTGTTATTGATATCAGCAATGGTTGTCATGCTAAAAAAGTATATAAATAAAAGATATCTGTCAGTCTGATGCTTATTAGAGCAAATCAAAATTTCAGAAAAAGCAAAAAATTAAGTGATAAGCACAGCAAAAGAGCTGTCTTACTGTTAAGTTAAGCTTGCATATTTATAAGTATCCAGCTATGGTTCATACTTAAGAGTAGAACTACAATCAAAATCTTCTAAATTTCAAAGGTCATACATACATGTATAAATATCTTTATTTACCATAATGATATACGATTACAGAATAAATAACAACAACAAGATGATGATGTTTATCTTGCTTCCTTATATAATAATCAAATAAAGATGCAGTAAGTTGGAACCTTATCCATGTATCATTGATGTCATCTGTTGTACGCCAACTGTTCCCAATTTTTCCTGCCCATTCGGCAGGGTCATCAATGCCCCTGCCAAATTTAATAACAAAAGCACCAAGAAAGCTCTCAAGATGCTGGTTAAGAACTCCAATACAAATCAAAGAAAGTGCCTCGAAGTTGCACTTACCATTCACAAAGTGCGTAAAATATAGTTCGTCCAGTATCATTAAGGGCATCACGCATGGGTGGGTATCTGAAACCAACGTCTTAGTATTCAGATCTAATTACACATTTAAAGACAATTAAGTTAGACCTCACAGACTAAGAGTTGAACCTTTTTTGTGGTGGGAGGCCTAGATTGTAGCAATTGTCGTACTTCAAATAGTCAACACCCTGTGTAGTTGAACAATCACAATATTAGTTACCAAATGCAAAGTAAATCATCTACCACACCAAAAGAAATAAATGAAAAGCAATGCCAACACTAACATATTAACCAGTATTCACAAGTAAGAAAACTGTCTTACCTTGTATAAGAAATGCAATTAACAATATTAGCTAGTGATTTAATCAACATATGCAACTGTATAGCTTCTTCTTCATTTATTTTTTGGCATACGCAAAGACAATTATTTCCTTGAAGTCATATCAATCTTTTTTGGCATTATGCTCTAAGTCTCTCTGACAACAACCTGTTATGCTCTAACCTCTAAGGCTCATGGACAATAAATAGAAGCTATAATATCAACCAGAAGATGAAAAACGAAAAAGACGAAGAAGAAGCAAAGTATATTCTTCTGTTAACATTTATTACCATATGTATATGTAACTCCACTCTGAAATCGTCATTATTGTGTTTTATCAATAAGGTGGAAGATATTTACTGAATAACGGGATTGATGGAACAAAAAGGACAAACTAACCCAAGATGCCCAAAGTTCTGCATCATTTTTTTCTTGAAACAGCGAACCTGGCCGAACTTGACATGTAAAAATCCTACATGATCCATGTAACCGAACAGTGAGAAACAGGAGAATGAACAAATGCTTTATACCAGACGAGAAAATGTATTTTCATCTAATATTGGCATAGTCAAAAGATAATCAGACCAGGTATTTGGGATATGTCCTACCCAGCATCAGAATAAACACCAAGTTTTAGTCCCTTTGAGTGCACATAATCAGCTAGAGCTTTAATTCCAGAGGGAAAAGTTTTTGGGTCAGGAATCATTTCACCCTGCACAAGGATTGGCAGATGATAAGCATCTCACACATCCACAAATGGCTGAAAATGAAAGTTCAACAAAAGTTCTTAAATGAGGAAATCAGTTAGCTCTTTCTGAACCAAAGTTCTAAAGTTATAGGGCATCAAGGCATGAAAAACGTCCAGGAATGAAGGCTCCCGGTGGAAGAGTCAAGGTGCACGCTAGTTGGTCTGGACACCATCGTCATAATAATATAATCATAAAAAAAAAAGAAGCACAATGTTGAGGAACAACATCCTAGCTTAGAAATGTAGATGCACCTTCAAATTTCGTGTCGATCTGGACCAACAATCATCTACCAAGGAGAAAGCATATCAAAATGTCAAGATTCAAACCTTAAAAGCAAAGGCAATCTAAGTTCTTCACAAGCTTACCAATGTTGACATAAGTATAACCCAGGCTAGCCAAACCAGTTGATATGAGTGCATCAGCTGCCAAACAACACTTCCATGTGAGCTAATAAAACATTTAACCATTTTAACACTCCACTCCCACCCCTAAAACAGCACAAGAAAGTAGCATGGTTAAGATTTCCCAAAAAATTGAAGAAACTTCCTTCCCTCCTCCACAAGAAATCCCAATTAATGAAAAACTTCAATCTTGAAGTATCCACTCCCCAGGACAATACAAGATATTGAATGGAAATCTAAACGTGAGAAGTATGTAAACTCATTTTAATGCACAAACATGCTGTTTATTAATGCACATAACAAATTAAATTTCCCTCAGTTAAAGGAGAGCAGGGGCAAAGCTAGTAAGGATCAAGGGGTTCGGAGAGGTTCATCCGAACCCCCTTCAGCGGAAAATTATACTATTTACTTTTATGTGTATATATATAGTAGATGTTGAACTCTCGTCGACTTCTTAGTCTGCTTACCCTTCATATTTTGAATCCTTGGTGAAATCTTGGCTCTTAATTTCTCAAGCACTCACTTGTGGGATTACAATGGAATATTCTCAAGCATCTATCAAAACAAGGTGAGGAGACACTCAGAGCATTACCTGTTTCCTTGATGACTGTTTCATTTATATTGCAGGCAAAAAAATTCCAAGTACTCCACCTGTTCCATAAATATGATTAATCACATAACTATAAAGTTGCAACTTTTAACACAAATTGAACTAGAAAGATTCAATTTTTATGGAAAAAAGAAACACAAGAAGGAAGTAGAGTTGAAAATAAGGCACCCCATCTGAGGAGTTCGAGCCAAGCCATTGTCAATTTGAAGAAATCCATAGTTGGAAGTATCATAAAGTTGAGAAATGAATGTGTCTTCAACTTTCAAGTAAGGATGAATTGGCAGCACTGTTGCCGCCGTCACTGACATCAAAAACACCGTCAAAGACACAACGGCAACGATGCCACTCCACTTTGCCATTCTTGAATTTTGGATTTCTGTCCACAAATTCTGAAAAAAGAAAAGAATAGTGGAATTACTTAATTTGTATTTTTTTTTCTTTTTTTTAGAAGAAGAGGAAGAGGAAGAGGAAAAGGTTGAAGTGTCCACTTTGATTTGATGACAAAAATTGGTAGTTAATACTGCGCTCCAGATATTTCTATTTCTATTATATAGAAGAGCCATGATTAGGAAGAAATTTTTTACCATGGATGAGGCACAAGTATAATGTGGCAGATAAGAGTTGTATGAGGCCCATTTATATTTTGCCAAGTGAATCACTTTCAGAAAAAGGGACACTCCTCTTTCTCTCTCTTCCTTTTAACATTTTTTCCCTTTCTTACTTCTTTTACTCTTTTTTCCCCTTTGGTTTCTTTTATAAAACAATTGTTTCAAATTTTATACTTTCATACTTAAATAACTTTATTCATGAAAAATATGAAATTCAAAAAAGTTTGCTTGACTCATTATATTTATTACATTTTTATATTGTTTTTCCATCTCATATTAATTATTTAACTTACCTAAATCCCATAGTGTTAGACCTTAAATTACATTTTATCCCTACTCTTTCATTTTATAAAAATCCCTTAAAAAACCAACAATCTGGATACATAAATTTTATCTAGATACATTATATACGATACATTATAAACTTATCTGTTGCGCTTAATATGGAATATTAATGTAAAACTGATTTTATTTCCCAAAATCAGCAAAACTGATTTTATATTCCCACAAATCACGCAGTGCTGATTTTCTTTTCCCACAAATCACACGGATTGATTGATATCAATCCATTCCAATCTGTAACAACTTCACAAAAATCAAAAATCAAATTTTCATCTTCTCCATCAATTCAAAATCTTAAATCTCAAATCTGCCGTTGTAGATGATTGGACAAACGATTCACGATTTCGAATCATCAATTCGAAATCGTTGAGTATAATAAATCGTTGAGTAATTTGAATTCAATGTATCACACAAATCTGATTGGACAACCTTAGCTCCTGCTAACATTGCTAATAAGATCCCTCTGTCAACTAGTAAGTTTCTATTCCCCTTTTTCATCTTTTGTTTATTATAATTTAATTTGATTTCTGAAAATTTAATTCTTGTTCAGAGAAAATTAATGAATCTGAGAAGTTGCTAACATTACTAATAACACATATTTTCTCAAGTGCAGTTGCAGATGCCAATATATGCTTTCATAAATTCCATTTCAGAAAACAAAATCAGTTTTATATATATCCACTCTTATGAGTATTATATGTCATTATTTGGGATTACAAATGATGAATAAAACGCTCACAACATCCTTAGAATCATTACACCAGAGAAACTGAAAAAGAGGGCTTATGATTAGAGAAGTAAAGATTTTTAGATCGATACATTACTGTGTGATAGTTATTAAGTATCATATACATGTAGTTCTAGTTTGCCAAAGAATGAACAAGTATCATATACCTATTGTTGGATCTAAAACATAGTGCTCCAGTTATAGAACATTATGATTTATATATCAAGATTATTATTGGGTAAATGTATATATACATCGCATTCTAAGTTGGGTAAAACTGAACAAATATTAAAGAGTGCGGATACATAACACACAACTGATTTGTTACTAGCTAATAGCCTTTTAAATTTGACTAAAATTGATTATACATTAAAGAAATTGATACATGTAGATGATACATTAGGTAGTGTTTATGTATCAACAACATTCATATTGAACATTGATAAAACTAAATCGAATATTCAACAACATTAGGGTTATGTATCAACACCTTAAATATGAATATGATACATTGCATAAACAAAAGTTATTGTAACAGTGATGTATCAGATCAGTGATGGCACTAACAAAGGCTAATTTAAGAATCAAAATAAACGAGATACATTGAAAATCAACGAAGGCATTATACATTAGTTTAAAAACAAAATCAACTAGATACATTAAAATCTGAACTCATATGTATTATAAAGGATGAACAATAAAAAATAAAAAAAAAAATCAACAATTGATCTGTTGAAAGCAAAAAAAAATGACGAAGAGACCCCCCTATACTTTAATCTTTGCTATATATCAACTTTTGTATCTTTTTTTCACTGTCAACAGTGGAAAGTGATTTCACAGCAAAAGAGGATCCCTGTAAACGATTTTGTTGCAAGGAGCAATGGGTATACATCATCTCTTTCACCTTTCCCTTATACATTTTGTGAATGTGGAAAGGGAGGAGATTCGATAGTTCTTTGGTAAAAATTGTGGAGCGAAAACTTACTTGAGTTTTTGGAAAAAGTTATGGAGTGATCTTATGGAGAGAGAACAAATCTGAAGATTAAAAATTGAAGGAAGTAAAGATTGAGGGAGAGAAAATAGGAAGAGATTGAGGGAGTGAAATATGGAGAGATTAAGGGAGTGAAATTAGGAAGAGAAACGTGTGTTTTGAGTGTTGAAACTTTATGTATCCGGAACAGTGGGGTTTGGGAGGAAAAAGAGGGATTTTGGAGATATTTTAAAATAGTAGGGAATAATGGAAATTATGAAAAATAAAGGTGTGTATTTAAGTAATTTATCCTTATTAAAAATAGTTATATAAAATTATTTTTTAATTTACAAAGATATGATTAATTAAAATTTTTCTATTTTATTATAACAATTAATTATTTTTGAAAGTATAAAATAAAATTTATAAAGTTATCAAAAAAAATTAAGGTATATATTTTATTTGTGTTTTCTTAAGAAATTTGTAAAAGAAAAAGTAGTTCATTAATATGAAAAATAAAGAAGGTATAAATTTAATATGTTCTTTTATTTTCTCTCAACAATTTCATAATCCAAAAACACTTCAATCCACAAATTCTCTTCAATAAGTAACTAAAACGGAAAGAACATCAATGATCTTGAAAACAATTACATAAGTTTTGATACTATTGTCATGAAATTCAAAAATGAAAAACATCCATAAACACCAACATAAATACATATTATTTCCGTCAATTTATACCATATTCTTATTCTTAAAAATCAAGATAGGTGAAATTTAATGAATATTTTGCTTATCTACTTTTCTTACATGTTCTTAAGGAAATTATAAATATAAATAATATTTTTAATAATTTATTTGTTCAAAGAATTTTTGCAATTTTACAAAATTTATTTATAATAAAAAAATTAATTGTTAGGATTAAAAAAACTACTTATATCTTGATTTTATAAACTAAAAAATAAATTTCAAACAACTATTTATTATAATAAAATAAATAATATAGAATAGAAAAAATAATATTAAAATAATAAACTAAAAACTTATATAATTATCGTAAATTTAAATCAAAATTCAGTACGTAAAAAAAGAAAAGCATAAACTAATTAGTTCAGTGGGTTGATTACATGAATTTTCACTA